TATTCTATTTCTTCGGTTACTTGTCTTTGTAAGTCGTTGTCAAGGGGAAGCTGAAGCGTCCGAAAAAATACACACGGTCTAATATTACCCCTTGCTCACTTTCAGCACACGTGCGAAGGATTTCAGCTGCGGCTGATACTACCGGTGAGCAAACAACATGGAAACTCATGCAAAGGCCAAGGCAAGTTGCAGTAGTATCTGTTTTACAATGCCGTTTACCTATTCCTAAAAGGGAGACGCAGTCTCCAGTCGGTGAGAAACGATGTCGTACGAGTACATATATATATGTACACATGACGCCTCGGACGAATTCGATATACACAGCATGCGGGCTGATGAATAGATGGTGGTGTTACAAGATAAAAGCGCCTCAGTGTAGGGACTTGCTGTCCATTCATTGTCAAGGCTATCCTTGTAAAAATGGCTCACAGGCGTGGAACACCAGCTTGAATCAGGAAAAAGGAATTGCGTCTGTGCGGCACCAAATCGGGATGAGAGCGTCGTCCACGTTTCGCAAGTGAGCTCGAATGAAATTGCACGGGATGCTGTGCAATGTGATGGGGCGCTGACCGGTGTGATCACATCCCAGATTCGTGAGACGTGCCGTGTAAGTGGCTTGAGGCGCTCGTCGAATAGGGCTACAGAGCGTGAGCTTTGACCGTTTGCGAGGAGAGTACAAAACGGCGAGCCAGTCAGAGACGGGCTTCTGGCGCCATCGTCTTCCGTCCAAGAAACGAATCTGTTATTAGCCAGAGGCGGGTACGGTGGTAGCACTACATTCAATAGTTTGGACAGCTCTTGTATGTAACCCTAGTATGACTGGACTGGTTCGTCTATTTGGTACGTCATTCGTTCGCCCAGGGGAGAGTAAGAGATGGATGCTGCAACGATGACGAGGGATTGAAGTGATGGCTGGCCCGGTAAGCATCTGGGCAGGCGATGATACGGCTTGTGCTGATATGTTTGCCACCTTGAGATGACGAGACCTGTTATGGTGCAGCTGTATTGGGTTACATGGTAGATACAAACGCCCAACAGGGCATTGAAACGGAGTGCTACAGGTGTGTATTAGGTGGTGATGGCTACATGTACACGACAGCACAGAGTGCCCGTGAGCATTTGCGACCTGAATCGCCAGCCCGCGGTTTATATTGCTTATGCTTTGAGCAGTAGTAATGGCATATGGGTGACGCCCAAGCAATGCTCGTTCGAACAGTGAAAAGTGTGTGTGCGTGTGTGAGAGTGTAAGTGCCTGTCCCCTCCGGCAGTCTGCGTGTGTGTTGGGGAGGACAGCCGTGCGCACATACATCAGCATGCAGCCCTTCAGGTGGCCGGGAACACATGCTCCGTCTTGCATGGCGAGAGTCGAACGAGCAAACCGTCAGATGGCCTGGCGTCTTTTGGCCTGTGATTGCAGCCACTGGCCGTTTTGACGCTTGAGCCGGGAGACAGCCGCGTTGAAACGCTATTGCGGGGAAGGGCCCCGAACATGAGTCTGCCTAACTCGGGCAAACAATGAGCGTACAAGTACACACGAGTTGCCATGTTCGATGCCGCGATTTACGAAAGAAGGAGAAAAGGTAAAAGCAAACGTGATGATGAACAGGGGCACGAGATATACGCGAGTGGTCTTCGGAGATTCCTATAGCCATCCAGCGTCAATGGAGGGCTGAAATGTCTGCTCACGCTCATGCTGATATTTGCCCAATATATATACACCCTTCCAGCGCTCTGTTGGGTAAAGAAGAGAAACCAACAGCCACAATCCAGCGGAACGCAGAGCCGGAGGAGCCTGATTGTTGGAAGGATTATTAGATGGGGAAAGACGAGTGCCCTAAGCAGCTAGAGTACGAACAAGAGCAAGCTGGCGATGTTGCTCTACATTGTCCTGTGGGTGGCAAGGTACAAAGGTAGGGCATTGAAAGAGGTATCCATTAGTCTAGTCCAGTAGGGTCAATATGCCCGTCCAGCACAGCATCTGTTACTGTGGACATGTGAGAGAGGAGACAAGCACGAGTTGAAGCAGCCTTGCAGCCTCTTGTCGATACCCAAGCGGCGCCGGGGAAAAAAAAGAAGGGAGCAGGGGTAGCGGAGGTTGCAGTGGGTGGTGCTGAGTAGGTACAGTACAGTATTTGGAAAAGATAAAAAATCAAGAATATCTTGGTATTTTTCTCGGCCGTGAATAATCTATTCTTATATTAAGCTGCATTGGAGGTGGTGTCGAGGCTCCACCGGCTGCTCCCAGCATCGCCTTTTTCGCGGTTGTCGTCGAGTTTGTGCGTGCGACGGTAGCCCAGTTTAGCCATGCTGCGGCCTCCTCTTTCTCCTCTCAGCTCAGGCGTGTGTTGCAGGGGTTGCTGAGATGCAGCTGCGAATAAATGAAAATAAAAATTTAATAAAAATTTAAAAATAAATACTACAAGAGAAAAAGTCCTGCCTGCCACACTCGCGCACCGCCTCTCACCGCCCCCCAGGCGCTGATGCAGCCGCCATGCCGCACCTCGCAGGTCATCTGCCTGAGAAATGCTGAGCTGGCAGACCTCCACCGCCGTCCAGCTGTCCAATCCCTCCGCTGTGGATTGTGTGCATGTTGCTTTTTTATTTTTTTATGCAGAGCAAAGGCAAAGCAAAGAAGAAGCAGAAATTACTCCGCGATCAAAGCATTGTTGGCTGTTTTCTCCGTCTGTCCACTCCTTCGAGAGCCATTGCATCGTCCCATGTGCGCTGCTCGTAGCACCACGAGGATGCTGTTTCAACCAACGGATTGTGGCATTATGGAGCACAAGGGCATCAATGATAAACCGCATGCGAAGATGTCCAAGTACGGAGCACGGCCATTGGGCGAGTGCTGTGCCTCAGATATTGACTCCTTGCTTCGTCCCGTACCGACCGACTATTACCTGCATCCACGCATCTACTCCTCACATAATACTTGCCTATTAGTAGTACCTATTGCTAGCTCTTCTCGTACCGCCAGAGATTGATGCCTCCTCTTCAGGGCCTCTGTCTCGCGGATACGCGCTGGTCACCCGGAGGCTCCAAACGGGGGCGTGTAAGCTGCGTGTGAGTTGAGTGTCTGATCACGACGAGCAGCCATGCGGCAACTGAGCCATGGCCAACAAACTCTACTTTGCTCTGTGACTATCCATCTTGTATTTCTCTGACCAAGACGGCTTTTGAGCGTCTCCACGGGTCGTACTGCCGGGCGCTGCGTCTGGACGTGGCATGGCGCTGCTGCACAGGCACATACAGGCCAGCATGATGCAGCGACGCTTGATATCTGCCCACGAAAACGTCTCCATATTGTCTCGATTCAGGCTGCATCAGAATTTTCCTCTTTCTTTTCACTCCACGTCTTGGTTGCCTCCTTTTTTTTTCCTTCTCCTAATCCCAAAGTTTAAGACCACCCAGGTGTTCAGATAGGCATGCATGCATAATAGACCGGCGGCGCAGCTGCATGTGTCCACCAGACAGCTTTTCTGCGAAAAGTCATCCAATTCCATTGACAAGACCATCATCAGGCAAATAGGATCATTGCTTTTCTTTCCCCGGATAAACGAGCAGAAGGAGGAGTAAGAAAATAATGGTAAATGAAATAAATAAAATGTGAATTATTAAATGTCAATTTATTTCTTCTCTTTTAATCTTGCTAGGGCGCGGCTGAGATGTCTCGCAGAACGGAAAAGCACCACTTCACTGCAGATATCACCAGCACCCGAGCATCTGGAAAAGGCATTGTGCACTACTCTGCCCTTTTTATTATTGCATCAAAGTGGTTTTAAATGACTCTGATAATTGTTCAAGGTCCGTTTTGCCACAGTGGATAATGAGCACATCGTCAAGTAACGCCCTTCTCTAAGAGGTCAACAGTCTGAGCTCTGTACATGTACTCGACGTTGTTAGTCTACATGTAAGTACTTGGGTACATGCTTGTGCCCCCATTGCCAATACGAACAGAGATCAGGAATCACGCGACGGGTACATGTACGGCTCTGAAATGAACCAACCGAAAGCCAGATAACTCATTGTTACCCGCATATTAATCGCCAATTACAATGCTCAGCATCCCTCAGAGGAGGAGATAGATGCTGCATGATTACAACCAAACGGTAGTTAACAGGCCAGGCTGTGTTACCAGCCCAATTTGTCATGGACGCAGTACCCCAAGACGCCTTCCTATTTCGCCATGATAAAGAGTGATCGACCGATGAGATGCTCAACCTGGATGTCTTGCCCGTGCTTAATTAAGAGTTTGCAATAGTCCCTTGTATTATCTGTGTGTGCGCAACTCTGTGCCTATTCGAGCAAATGCACAGTAAGCAGGTCCATGTAGGATGCTCAATATAGAACATGCCCATACTACGTGTACATAGCACTCAACAGCAACGGCAACAATATTACATTGTCAACTATAAGGGGATAGTTGCTTCAAACGGTCAGTCTAAACGTGACTCACTGAGGAATGACTACAGACTCTGATGATGCTAAGACCTTCTCGAGGTGCTTCTCGAAATGAACGTCCAAATATGGAAGTCCTGGGAACCAACCTAGGTTCCGCACTAACGTTCTTGGCGTTATAATCCATCAAAAGCTGTTAGTGCAGTACCAGTAACCGCTATTACTCACTGCTGCCAGTGACTCATCCAGGGAAGAGGCTGTTATCCAAAGATCCCCACTAGCCTGTTTTTGCCCCAAACTCCAGCTCCAGCATTCTTCAGCAGCCCCACTGAGCTTTCTGGATATCGCCTCTTCGCCTCCGGAGAGCAGTTTAAAACAAGAGCTCAAGAACGTTTTTTTTTTTGTCCTCCTCAATTATAGTCGCAGCACAAATCTCTAGAGCCTGATTTCGTTTCTATTATTCGTTTCTTGGCGTTGGAACTTTCCTTTTGTCACCCGATTTCCTATCGTCTGTACAATTATCCGTTTAGTCCGCCGATTCTTTCGTCAGCTATCAACTTATGATAAACATACCGCATACATTTTAATCTGACTCTTTCATCATGATTTCACTCAAACAGCAGCCAGATGGCTCTCCTATGGACCGCAAACAAGCGGTACCCTCTGCCTCTAGTGCGCGAGTTGTCCCCAAGCCTGTGCCCGAAGCTCAGGTCCAGGACCCGCGCGGTTTTCAGATTGGACAGCTCAAGAAGAGATTCTCACCCAATGAATCTACAACTTCGGAGGGAGATACATCGCTGGTGTTCAAGCTGAAACCCTCGGACCCAGATTTTCCCTTTGAACTGCCCTACTTGGACTGTGATGTCCGCATTCCGGAAGAGTATCCGGAGGAAAGGCCGGTACTGCATGTTAGGAACAAGGATATCCCCAAAGGGTTCAGCATCAACATTGAGAGAGGCTGGGAGAGGCTAGCTGAGGAGAAGAAGGGCTCAACTCTGTTGGCCCTGGTGTATGCTCTTGACAGAAACCTGGAACGATTTCTGTCGGAGCAGAAGGTGGAAACGATTAAGCTCGTGTCGTTCAAGGACACGAGGCACCTTGATTCAGCAGCGGAACTTCAACCGTCCGTGGCTGCCAATTCTTCCTTTGCGGAAAAGGACAGCTCTCCTGCTCCTACACCTCCCCCGAGACGCTATATCCCGGAGCCCTCGTATACCAGAGAGCAAATCACCGAGGCAAAGGCCAGGCGAGCTCAAGAGATCCGCCAGCTTGAGGCGAGAATGGGAAGAATGGCCCAGTTTCGTCGATCTGGAGATGGTGTCATCTTTACGCTACCACTCGAGCCAAAACGCCGTGCTGAACTCCCCTCTGGGCTGCACTCTGTTAACAGCATCCACTTGATCATCCCGCTCTTATATCCGCTACAGCAGCTGCGCGTTCAGCTAAATGAAGCGAATGCTGAAGATGCGGAACCAATAGAAGATCTCTTTGCAGAAAAGGCTGCGGAGCAGAAGCAAATGACTCTCATGAGCCATGTAAATTACTTGGCTCAAAACCTGCATAATCTAGCTAAACAGGCGCATGCCCTGGCAGCAAAGGCTGAGAAGGAAAAGGCAGCCGCTGCTACAGCCGCAGCAGAAGCGATGGCCGCGGCGAAAGGAAAGCAGCCACAGACTCCCGAGAATTCTTCGTCTGGCTTACCACAGCCGTTTGGCAAGGAAAAGGGCCACATTCAAGTCATTGCTCGACCCCCTGAGTGGAATGTCGGCTACGAAGATGATGAATTAGAGGACAGCTACTCCGACTCGGATGACGCAGACGAAGGAGGAGCGGTATTGGGAGGCGAAGACGAGGATACGAGAGCACCACCATCTGCTGATGAGGTTGAACACGGCACCATGATATCGTTTCCGAATGTCGAACTTCACAGCATTGAGCTTTTACAGATATCGCTTCTAAGCCTCAGCGTCAAGTGCGAGCGATGCAAGACTCTAAATGACATCACGGGACTCAAGCCATCAGTCGAAAAGGCGACCAGCTGCAAGAAATGCGCGACGCCTCTCTCCGCAAAGTTCAACCAGCAGCTCGTTCATGAGAATTCAGCAAGAGCTGGCTTTATTGATCTGTCAGGATGCAAGGTAGCAGATATGCTGCCCAGTACTTTTGTGCCTACGTGCGCCAAATGTTCGACCCCCAGCCAAGGCCTCGTTTCCGTCAGGGGCGAGACCACAGCCAACGTCTGCCGCGAGTGCCACAGCAAATTCACCTTCAAAATCCCCGAAGTCAAGTTCCTCTTTGTCTCTCCGGGATCGCTGCCCCCGCCCGCGGCCGGCATGCGGCGGAAGCAAGAGAAACTCGGGCTCCACGCGGGAGACCAACTCCCGGAGCGGGGCACCTGTAGCCACTACCGCAAGTCGTATCGGTGGTTCCGTTTCTCATGCTGTAACCGCGTGTACAAGTGTGACAAGTGCCACGACCAGGCGGAGGATCATATCAACGAGTGGGCCAACAGGATGATTTGCGGGTTTTGCAGCCGCGAGCAAAACTACGCCGTCGAAGCGTGTCGCTTCTGTGGTCGTAGTGTGATTGGCAGAAGAGGCAAGGGATTCTGGGAAGGGGGTAAAGGAAACAGAGACAAAGTTACAATGAGGAGGAAGGATCCGAGGAAGTATAAGAGAATTGGGACATCTGCGGCGACGAAGAAAGATTAAGGTGGTGCTTGAGTAGCCAGTTACATTACACAGTTAACTTACGATGTATTACTAGACTGTCGAAATACCATCTCTTATGGGTGCTCTTATAAGAATGTCTGCACCTTTGTCTTCTTCATTTGATGAAGTCTCGGTTGTGATACGCCTTACCACGTCTAGAGCCCCTAGTGCCAAGATCGAGGGCAGAAGGAGTAACCATTACGTGAAATCTAAACCAACTTGACAGTCCGGGGAAATGCTACATGACTGATGTTGGATTCAAAAGAAGAAAAGTTACACATATCCTCACGGAGAAAGAAAAGGGGCAGAGCGGCCTCCAGACGACGTCGACGCTGGCCGGCGTATTACGTACGTATTCTGATCGCGGCTACACGAAGCGAGGCGGAGAATAAGGTGGAAAATAAAAACACGACGGTAATGAGCTGCAAAAGAAAATAAAGAAAAAATGATTATTTCCTTTTAACCCAACAAAGAACATGTATTTACCGGCTAAATGCAACGGCAACCCAGAATCGGACTTTGAGAATGTGACAGCTCGAAAAAAACGTGCTTCGTGCTTCAGAGACATCTACACGCCTCGCTACTGGCGCAATCTAAATCTAGCATCCATCGGACCCCTTGCCCCAAAGTGAATGCATCATGCTTTTGCTTCCTTAAGTTTACAAAATATTCCCATGATGTGTTTGGCCTTGGGGGTGTTTTACTTTAAGGAGGGGGCGTGTATCCGAGATCCTTGCGTTCATTGTTATCCTTCTCTCCGTATACTAGTCTAGTATTATTACATACCTACGATTACGGCTATTTCATGCGACCCTGTTGATCCCGCGACACGTCCGTTCCCCCCACCCCCGCGCAAAGTGAGGCCGGAACCTAAAAAAGCACATTTCATTCTCCGTGGGGAAAAGAATTTGGAACCGATGATGATCCTCCCGGTCTCAATACGCGAGACAGTCAAGTCTTGGGAGGGAGGTGTGGGGGATGGAATTTCCAGTTTAAGCACATACTTGTCCGTACACATCAGGCTGTGGAAGAAAGAAGGAAGACTGAGCAGACCCGAATGGGGAAATAGAGGGCACGAGGGCGACTGGATTCGGTTTGACCGTTGGGTGTTCGTTGGATTAGAAGTGTACAAAGGGCATGTACCTGCTGGAGGTCAGACGAGGCACTGCAGCTTATTGGTGGCTGGGCTTTTCTCCGACTGCGGCCCACGTGAGAGGCGCATTCAATGTCGGTTGTTTGAAGCCTCGTGCATTCCAAATCCAGCCAGACAAATGTGGCATTGCTTGTTGATGGACTGATCTGGTGGCGGTTCCCAGCCTCGTTGCGGTGGCGCATTCTCTCCAGATCTCCAGCGAGGGGGAAAAGCACGTTCCCATTCTTATTTGTCCCTCCCATACAAAGTGTCAAAATACACACATCACCGGCGGCCAACCCAGGCATGTCAAGCTTTCTAGAAGAGCGGGCCTAAAGGCACGTTCCATTGCGTCTTTGCCCCGTCTCCCACGTTTTCTTATTCTTTTTAAACGGCGACCAACAGCCCGGGACTAGGCAGCTTTGGTCGCGATCTTCGTTCCCCCGCAAAATCGCCGAACCGTTTTGGACAGGTAGGGTGGCTCGTACAGGAAGAGTACCTTCGGATTAGTATCTTGGCAGAAGGAATACGGGAGATGATCGACCCCTGGATGCACGTGTTCTACTCCCAGTCTCTCAATCGCAAGGTTTAGTGGTTGCATTTACGCCATCTACGGATACGTGAAAGCAAAGCTGCAGTTTAAAACGGCCGTTTCTCGAGATATTCACGCCGATCACATCTTCGAGCTGACAATTTGGTTCTAAAAGATCAGCAGAGTACCACAGGCTGTCTCAGATGCAAACTTGGCTTTCCTGATCCAGGGGATCGACCGCTAGTGCTGCGCTTATATGCATTGGTGGCAGCCCTTGGTGTGTGGATATGTTGCAAGTGAGGCCGAGATTCTCTCGCCAAGCTACACAAGTCTTGTCACAGATATCTCAATGTTGCCAATGGCAATCCTAGGATTTCTCATCATAGCAAAACCGTGGAAACAATGTGCGGATGCCATATTGTGAGCTTATCGTCCACAAGGACCGATTCCAAAAATCAATGGGGGGCGTGGATGCAAGGACTATTCTCGCTGTCACTCGGGCTTTCACGGAGAAGTATGCCCCTTACATTGAGCAATACAGAAAACACCTGCATACTTCGATTCGTGGAATCTATCAAGTGCTCTTTTTTTTTCAACCAAGACAGACGGGAGCTAATAAGTCTCTCATCTGCATCTGCACCTGCAAGTGTCTCTAGTGACATGCAGGAGTCCACAAAGACGTTGAAGGAATCATAACCCGGAAGGATTCCGTGACAAGACCTTCGAGAAGACTGCCGGAACAAGAAATCCATAATACATCTGGGCGTCTCGTCCAATTGTCTTCATCAAGGTTCGGTTGTAATGTACGGCAACGACGGCCTAATCACCTTCGAGGAAAATCTCGCTGTACCAAGCCAATGGAGACTCAGCGATTACCATAAATGTGGTTATTATGCAAGCATATGCTACTTGCACTTTACGATGCTGACGCCCTCCACACAATTAGGCATCAATTTAACAAGCCTTGGATGGGAACGTTGAGATGGGGCTCCAGGCCAAGGCATCCACTTGGGGAGGACGATCAGGGACCAAAGCCAATTCGCAATTCAGCCTTGTTCGATGCAGTGAACCATGAGCTCCATGGGTTGCAGCTGTCAAGCCCATAGGCTATCCGCTTTTGCTAGGCTCTCCCTTTGTGATCCAATGAGAAGCCATGTCGATATCCGATGCGACTGCCAGACGCATGGCTCGCCTAACTATCCTACCGCTCCTGCAAGCACTTCTTGGGCGCCATTATTTCCTCTTTTCGTCGTGCCTTTCATGCTTCAGGCCCCGGGGGGGCATGCGCCATGGAAACGAGATTGGAGATTAAGCATACGCAATAGATGTTTCTATGCTCTTTACCCACTTATAGCAGCGAGTATCTGTGAAGTTGGCGAGAAGTTCACAAAAACCCTCCGAGTAAGCACAACAAGCTCTCATGTAACAATAGTGCCATGCTAATGCAGATAGCATAATCAGTCTATTTTTCCGTCCAGTCTTGCAGGCAAGCTTATTCCAGCGCCTTATTAGCCAATGGCACGAGGCAGGCCGGGGACATCCTCCTGTGGACGGCTAGTGTCATCGATCAGATTCCCACGTAACGTTAAACCTGCCAGAAAAGGGAAGACGGATTGCATCCTCCGTACTTGTACAGCCAGATCGCTCCAAGGTCACAAGGCCGTCAAGGCCAAGATTCAGCATGGGCTTGTGCGACCCCGGCCGCCGGATGCGTTCCGGCGTGCTAAAAGGAGGCACTTTTGGAAAAACGTGGTGATCAGTCCAGGGTCCGTCGCCTTGACCTCGGCGTGCAGATTTTTCTTTAGCGGTCCACTGAGGTTTCCTTAATTTTATTCCATGGGTATGTATAAATTTTATTGTCATTTTTATTTTTCAATTTGTTTATTCGCATTATCCTGTGCCGTCGCAAAGAGATTCCCACAGGCGTCGGCGATTTCATCTCACCTGTAACGGTGCAGAAAACGGAATTTGTCAGTTGGATGCAAGTTGATTGATTGGCGGAGATTGCAAGTGACAGCTCTCTAGCATCAAGCCACGCGGGTGTGGCGTCCTGTCGCTCGAAGATCATTGCAACTAGGCGTTGTTGCGGGCTAACGAACGACGACAATCAAGACGACCTAAAATGAGACGTATTGATACTTTCCACGCCGAAGTGTTGGTTGGTTATATTAACTCGAATGAGACGGTCCGAAACGGTGGGTTTTCGGCTCTGGGGCGGGCTGGTTGGGATGAAAATCGATAAAATGCAAAGTGGCTTTTTTCTATTTTCTTTTTTTCTCTCAGAAAAAATAAAAAATTAAAAAAAGAATAATAGGCTCAACTTATCCCTGACTCTTCACACGTCTACCCTGGGCTTACATGGTTTGCAGTTCCGCCATGACAAGAAGCGCCCCAGTCGTTCGGCCCTGTTCAAAGTGCTTTTATGGGCCGCACAGAGACCTGCCCAGCTCATTCGGAATCGCCGCCCAGCATCTGCATCCTCCGCAGCGAATCAGTTTCCCCAGTACTGCTCTTATCAGTATGCTTGTTCTGCAGCACGTTGTTGGAAGCGTTCAACCCATCGAAAGGTGACCAGAAAGCACGATTCTCCTGATGGCGAGAAGGAAACATCATACCAGAAAACACGAGACGTGAATGAGTGGCGGCGGGCTGCCAGTCACGGGTGGCGGCCAGTTCGAGCACGTCACGTATCGACATACCATCCTGGGTCTGGTATTACCTCGCCATCCTGGCTTTGTGCTGGCGGAACCGGAATTGGGGCCTGGCTAGAAAGGGTGGCTTTCACATTGCAAGCAATGCCTGGCATATGACTCGGCTTCACGACTCGGCAGTCGGGAGGTGGTAACTTTCCCATGTGCAAGCCTGGCATTTTGCGATTTGGCGGAACTGGGGGGCTGGTCAGAAAGGAAGAGGCGGGTCAAACAGCACTGTTTTGGCCCTGTTGCTTTTTCGAGAAGACTTCTATTATGCAGCGGCGCCCCCCAAATGTGAGACTTAACCGAGAGTACTGCTTCCTCGATCCGAAGGCCTTTCTATCATGTGAACAGTTTTAAACCTGGCAACCAAGCAATGCTTCACTTTCAACGCCCCTATGTTGCCAATCAGCCAAGGAGCCGGACATCCGTGGAGGAGGACGTCTCCTAGGTGGGAGAATTATTTTTATCCTGTCAGAGAGCGCAGGGGAAGAATGGATATTCTACTGACATGCTTGACATTTGTGTTTGTTGCCTCTTCTTCTTTGTCATGCTGCCATGATCGGTCCGACAAGGATTTGGCTTTAGTCTGGTGCATATACTGTACTCATCTCGACTCGTTGCTCTATCTACTCGTTCCCGCTTCCTAAAGCCCTTTCCCTGTTGTGGGTTGGTTCGGTCGACCGTAAAGGCAGTGGAGTCTGTGATGAAGGCAACAGCTCTGGAGATACGAGATGTTCATATGAGGCTGATTACTGGGTCGCCGTGGCGATCTTCACGTTTCAAGTAGCGCCAAGACGCAGCCGAGAGACGGTCCGATGATGGTTTGCCATTTCCGCCTGGTGGAGGATAGCGTACCCGCTTGACAGCACGGCTCTCGGACCGTCTACAATGCTGAGTAGGCATTCTATGGATACTTTGGGATTGTAAAGCAGAGTTGTATTATTAGGGGGTCAATGCAACGAAGATTGCTCCTTTGCTTTTTAGAGAGAGAGAGAAAAGAGATAACAGCGAAGACGAGATACTGAATAGGGTATTCCGCTCAGCTGCCACAAGCTCAATCAGCTACCAAGTGATATGGCTTACTTTGAAGCCACAAGTCTGAAATCGCCGTGGCTGATTAAAGTTTGAAGAAAGCAAAGACTCATCTCAGTTGAGCTTCTCCATAAACCAGCGTTGCAGCAGATTGGCGATGTCTATATTTAACCAGCAAGGGCACCGCTTCCAAACCACTCCAGTGGTTCGATAAAAACGTTGTTCCCTTGGCACCATGATGCTGGAGAGCATGGTAGCATTACCGTGCGCTTGGGACAATTATGTATCGTGTCACACAAATGGAGAGCTTTGCGTATCAAATGTCGTCATAACCTGGGGAAACCTGGTGTCAATTCGAGAGTTTTGAAACGAAAACTGTCAAAGATTGATTAGAATGGAAGCTTTGACAGGAGGAGTTGTGTTCGATAATTGAGTTGTGCTGTGGCATAATGATCTCGGAAAGGTGTCCATGGATAGCTATACGAGTTGTCGTCAGAGCTGCCTTTGAGGAGCAGTAACCCTACTGAGCTCAGTCGGCTCATTTCACTCAAGCTTCTTTCAATATTCAAGGCTACTCTAATTCTTATAGACTGATGACAAACCATCGCCGGCATCAGTCAGTAGAAATCTATATTGACACGAACGAGGCAACTACACGATACAGATGTCAATCATCACGCAGCACTCACAAGACGCCAATATGTCCATGACACTTCCCCAACGGCACGGCATACGCGGCACATATTTTAGCTGTCATTTCCGGTCTGCCCACCATACCATCACTCTTCAATGAACATCATCGTCGTCACGAACACCACCACTGCATTGCTACCTTCCACCTATATCTCAAACGAGCGTCAGACTTGCTTCCAAATGCACAAGGGCATCCATCACCCCATCTATAAGCACCAGGCAACCCCCACGCCCGGAATCCAAGGCCATGGTTACCCGTTACCATATCCGTGAAACGGGATACACGGCCTGCTTCTTGGCAGTTTGCTAAGCAATCTGAGTTGTGACGGGGGCCATCAGGGAGCCCCCCCCCCCATACCCATATCTGCACTCATCCCAAAGCAGAGCTGCGCATAAATGTGTGTCTTTGATACTGTACAAGGCCGAAAGAATCATAGCCTCGGACCCTTGCCGAAGCTTTTTTCTCACCGCGGGCTCTCGCTCTCAAATCTTATTTCTCTTTTACCTTGCAGCCTTTCTTCCCGGCTAAATAGGCTGGTTACGTGATTATACATGTACGGGCCGGGCCTTTCGCGTAACTAACAAGAGGTGCAGGGATAGCTCTATTTATCCATTGCCCAGAGTAAGTGCACTGCCAAAAGAAGGTGGTGGACAAGGCAAAAGCAAGCCAGTGATCGAAGATCGAAACCTTTAGCACATCTGACTTGTTAGACGTGGTCAGCAAAAAGTCCCCGTCGCCTTTGATGTCGTTTTTTTGCAAAAGAAGAGCGTGCCCCTCTGAAAATGTCCACAAGGAGTAAGTAATAGATACCTATTCAGCAGAGACGGCATTATTTCCTTCTCTTCCGCGAGGAGCTGGTTCTTGAGCTGATGCGGCGAAATTGCCGCCGGACAATTTCATCGAACCGCCGCAGATCATTGTCTACATCGTGAAGAAGGATACACCGATGGAAGCATCGGTCTCAAGAGGAGATGATGGTAGTAATCGATGCCTCAGCACTGGATTACCGATGATTTGTGTTGCTTACTACTTTCATTTCCCCCACACAATGCGATATATTAACAACTCTGAACAACGGAGACCAATTTGCTGCAAACGCAAACGCAAACGCACGTGTTCTACATCATTGGGCATTGCGACTGAAGCGATATTTGATACAGTCTGGAAGGGGGTGGGATAAGCCCCCCCTCCAAACTGCAACGTACTGATACGATTTGGTAGAAATATGGCAGGGCTGCTGCTGACGCTCAAGGGTTCTGCGGCCTCTCCGGCGGTGCATGCAGGCATACTCTTACATGCTTGTACATGCCGCATCATTGCAGTGCGGCAAAGTACCACGAGTACCGACGCCGCTCGGCACTCGCCATTCCTACGTAATCCGACTTCGCAATGTACAATTATAGTTGCATTGTATGTATACTTGTACATGCCAGAGCAAGGTGTTTTCTAGCAGTTTCTTCGTGGGGTCCTTGCCTTGCAGACGACAAGACCAGGATTTGCAGCAGTCCACGTGGGATGATATCGTTTTGGGATACCATTACTTTCGGCCGGCTTTTACTTTTCATCGATTTTTCTTTCAACGGGCTGATGTTTGGTCCGAGTTAATGCGGTTGCTCACATCTGACACCTTTCTTTCCCCCCCATCGTACGAGCAAGTTAAACCCCTTGCTGTTCCATCTACTGAGCAATTACATCTTTCTTGTCCGCAAACTTTGCCCAAGGCGGAAAGTGTTCATTTGATGCCATACACGATCAATTGCAAACGAATATCCCGATTGCTTACTTATCCAAAGACGTACGATTATAGAGCTCACATAGGAACCCAGTAGTCTGGGCAGGGCCAAAGCATCGACCAGTTCCGCCCCCTGGTAGAAAAGCAAGAGGCCGGCCGGGGTGGAATCGAAGCCGGGATTAACGGGGCCGGGGCCGTCGGACCACCCCTGCCAAATCCTATATCGCATTGTCTTTCTAGTCTTTATTGTTTTGGGGGAGAAGGGAATTGCAAATGGTGGCTTGGATTTATGCTTGTAATTGGGGAGAATAACGAGCAAGTGGGAATAAAGAGAAATGTCATTGGTGCGCATACACCAAATTGAACATGATAGTAGTGTCTATACATTGGCTGATAGAACAGCTCTTCAGGAGATTGGATGACTCGTTGTGAGGCACCCCAGACAAGAGTGTAGAAATAGTATCACACGGCTGTGTATTTTGATACAAGTTCATGGGTATGCCTGGCTGATAGCTAATGGGTGCTTGCTCTATAAAGTCCATACAACTAATCACATAGCAGACTCTCAATCTGCGATTGGCTGGGACGAGAATTGTTATATATATTCCTTTTCAGCAACGTGAGTACAGACACATCTAATAGTACTTGACAAATAAAATTCATATTTAGCTTGAAAGCTTGGTAGCTGTTGTTTACTTAGAAGAGGAATATAGCCAATGTTGGCCGGAAGCATATAGGGTATGTCGTTGATTTAGCAGACTACTAAAATCCTTGATACAGCACTAGCACGCAAGGTTGGAAGTTGATTCAACTGCACCATCAGAAAGAGAATGATGGTTTCATTCTTTTATTATTTATTTTTTAAGAGATGAAAGATATTTACAACTCTCGATTCCGTATACGCTCTCAGCTTACATTTCAGCGCATGCATCTTGATGTGATATCCCCAAGTGGACATACAGCGACCACTTTTATTCCATGCGTTGTATGATCAAGCATGCTGTCAACATCCATGACATAGATCTGTTCCGATGAATAGTTTGTGCAACTATAACTTTTCTTCCTGTATTTATTGCTTGATATGCATCGCTCTTAAATTGACATTGCTTTGAATACGTATGTGCTCGACTTACAGCAGACAACCCCGCCACCTCCGTATGTATGCCACTGTGTATATCACTACCATCACTTCTATATACCTTTTACTCTTTTTCATCACCAAAATCATCTTATATTTCCTTTCCTTTCTTCCCTCATACGAGATTCAATTCTCGTCATTTGCACCTCATCGCTATTAT